ATCTTTTCTTCCAGAATCCCCAAGCCAGGCACATTTTCCTTGCAATACCAAGAATTCCCAGTTTTTCCCCCACAATCCAGAGGGATGGCTGAACCTCATCCCACCACCTTGGCCACCCGCCACCGCTTTTCCTCCTCCCTCAGGCAGAGCCCACAACATCCAAGGGAATATTTGGTTTCTCTTGCCTCAAAAAGGAGATGCAGAGCCTCCTCCTCGTGGCTGACGGGGTGGATGGAGAGCCCCTTGACATAAATCCCCTGGGGACCGTCCATGACGGCCAGCTGGTTGTCCTTGCAGCCCCGGCCCAGCGCCGGCGCCAGGAGGTCGAACAAGGACTCGTTGTAAATCTCCAGGTAGGAAATTCGGACACTGACCAGAATATTGAGGAATTCTGCAGCTGATTTGAAGATCTGCACCGAGAAAAAGGGTTTGGGTCCGTTCACAGGTGGGATTTTCAGTTAGTTGTGGCTTTTTAGAGAAGATATTTATGTAGGTGTTGGTGTGAGATATATATGGGGGTGATGTAAGTAGATAAAATGTATCAACAGGTATAAAATAGAAATAGATATAAAATAGAAATAAATTGATTGAGGAGTATACAAGACATCAATTTCTGTAATACAGAGATAAATATTGATAGAGTTCTGAACAGCTCCAAGTGCATCTAGGGGCATGTGGGGCTAAATCTGAGCTCTGAGGGCTCAGCTTGGATTTGGATTTAATGATTTTATAGAATCATGGAATTCTGGAATGGTTTGGGTTGGAAGGGACCTTAAAGCCCATCCAATTCCACCTCTGCCATGGCAGGGACACCTCCCACCATCCCAGGCTGCTCCAAACCCCAGTGTCCAACCTGTCTTTGGATACTTCCAGGGATCCAGGGGCCGCCACAGCTGCTCTGGGCACTCGTGCCAGGGCCTCTGTGCCTTAGAGGTGGTTTTTAATGATTTTATGATCAGTTTTAACCTGATTTCACACAATGACAGTTTGGGAAACACCTCTTTAGAAGGCTGGGTGACATTTGGGGAGCAGCAGGAACTAAAAAGGAACAACCTCAGAGAACAACAATAAAACTCCTGCATTCTTTAACCATCGTCCCTGAGGTAAAACGAAGGAAAAAAAACCCCACAAACGTATTCAGTGTGTTCAAACACTTTGCTGTCAGCAAGATAGAAATTGATTTTTGGTGTTTCACCAAAGATTCCTTGGTGTTTGTCCCTCCTCCTTCCCCAGGGAGCTGCAGTACCTGCTGGATGGCTCTGGGGATGATCCCTCGGTTTCTGTACTCAGAGGCTGCTCCCGTCATGGTGTAGGTTTTGCCAGCCCCAGTCTGCCCATAGCACATGATGGTGCCTAAAAAAACCCAAAAGCAACAGGATTGACTCAGGAGGGAGCCTCCAACAGAGCAGCAAATGGATCTCTGCTCAAATCCAATCTGGTTTGATGATCAAAAAGAATAATAATTGTAATAAATCACCGTTGTAACCCTGCAAAGCTTTGGCCACCACGTTCTTTGCCACGGTCTCATAAACCATTTCCTGGGAAGTGTTGTGGAGGAGCCCATCCAGCTTGAAGGACCACTCAGTCTGAGAGTTATTCACAACTCCTCCCTTGGGACTCTTCTGGATGTAGATATCGATGCTCTGCAACCCAAAAAGAGAGGGGGATCAACTCAACAGCCTTGAGGGATTTCAGTAACTGAAGAGCTGGGATTAACTAGATAAATAACAGAGTTATTTTACTGCCTTGGATGGCTCTAGAGGTCCTAAAAATATCTGGTAATGCTCTCAAATTTCTGGTGATAATTATTATAAATAAAAGGAAATGTGGTTAAGCTCATCTGTTTAACTTTCAGCGATTTTGTGCCTCAGGGAAATCCTTAATTAAGCGAGAGAAGGCAAAGGGAGGAATTTGCATAAGAGGGGATGGAAATAGACTGTGCCAAATTGTGGTTAGCACTGGGAATTCCTCATGGATCAGCCAGTCCCAGTCCTTTGGAGGGTTTTCCTGTTGATTGTACCACAGGAATTGTGTTTTCCATCCTCACACTTGCTGTGACAAAACCACTGCCAAGCAGGAACTGCACACACCAACACCCCCCAAAACATTATCTGTGGCCTCGAGGGATGGAAAAATCCAGGCTTTCCAGTGGAAAAGCTGAAGTCAACCTCCAAACCTTCCCCATTTCCAATTTCTTTTACTCTACCTTGTTGTCTGACCCAAGCTTGATCATATCTTGGGCAAAATGAGCGGTTGGCTTGACCCGCACAAACGCCAGGACTCGCTTTGGTGTTCTAAGGAGAGAGGCAAAAATGAGGAAAAGAAGAATCCTGCATTTCCTGAACTGAAATTTATGTTATTTGTCAGCAAAAGGTGAGGCAGAGGAGTCAAAATTCCAAACAAAGAGTTGGCAATTATTCAGCTGCAGTTTTTATTCCCCATTAAAAGCAACTGCAGGAAAAGAGGGGCTGAAAATTCCTCACAGCCTTGTCCTGCTTGGAAAACTGAGGATGTGAAATGAGAGGGGTCAAACTGATCCTGATTTCCTGATTTCCTCGTGTGTACCAAGCTCAGGAGTGTTGGACAACACCAGTTTTGTTCCCCTTAGCCTTGGAAAGCAAAATATTTGGGATTTTCTTTTGTCACAGGCAGCCTTTCTGGGGAAAAGAATTTAAATTCCCAATGAGCAGCTGATTTTCAATCTCCTGGAGGATCTGCTGAGTAAAACCCCCACAAGGAGGCTCATCCAGCTGCTAAAGGACATGCATTGAGGATTTTTAAATCCCTGGAATGTGTAAATCCCACATTTTCCCCTCAAACACTTCCTCCAGACAGCCTGTGCTCAATAATCGTGTAATTAGTGACAACTTCTACTTTGGAACAAAACCTTTGGGGTTTCTGGTACATGCAGGATTTTTGTGGCCTCTCACACTTTACCTGCTGTGACTGCTCTAAAAGGAATGGAGCTGAGGCAGGATTTGTTGGATTTCAAGCAGGGGAAGGTTTGGGGAGTACCTGGGGCTGTTACCCTCGTGCTCAACCTCAGAGAGCAGAGAGGAAATGATGCTCTCCTGGTCATCCTGCTTCTTCTGCTTCTCCTTCTCCTCCTTCTCCTGCTCTTGGTCCTTCTCCTTCTGCTCGTGGTCCTTCTCCTGCTCTTGCTCTTGTTCCTGCTTCTGTTCCTGCTCCTGGGATTTCACAGGGATCACAGAACTCTGTCCAAAAAAAGAAACCCCAGAACCCGGTGTTGGAGCAGCTGGGAAATATTTCTACAGGGAAAGGAGGAAGGGAAAAAACTGGGGGGAAAATCCCCCTCTAGGAATCAGGGGAAGAACAAATCCTAAATGAGCGGCACTTTCCTTGCTGCAGCCCTTCGTGGGGCTTTGCACAGCTGAGGACAAGAGCAATTTTTGCTGGTTATTAACGCCAGGAGAGGGGAAAGAATTCCCAGAGCAGCTTTCCCTGGATCCCTGGAAGTGTCCAAGGCCAGGCTGGACACTTGGAGCAGCCTGGGACAGTGGGAGGTGTCCCTGCCATGGCTCTGGAGGGGTTTGAGGTGCCTTCCCAACCAAACCATTCCAGGATTCCAGCTGGAATTACCGTTTGTTCACCCTCTGCGTTGGACACAGAACTTGGATTTGTTTCCAGCCCCTCAGAGCCTTCCTGCTCCTCTTCCTCCTGCCAGGGAAAAACAGCCCCAATCTCACATGGAAAATGTTATAAATTACAATTACAGCTATCAGCTTTCACGTTTATGTCTTGGGTTTTGGGAGTTGTTATTGATCACAAAGGCTCTGGCACAGTACAATTCGTGATTCCCTCTAAGTCTGGGAGGGCAGACTCTGTCAGCTCACACAAGCACAGCACAACTTCCAGAAATAGCAGCGTGATAAAGAAATATTCTATCTTAAGCCTTGGCATAATTTAAAATAGAAATGATGTGATGTTAAAAACACCAGGAGAAAAATTTACTACTGACTCTCCAGCTATTCACAAGTGTGGAAACAACAGAAGGGAGCCTCAAGAAGAAATAAAATATATTGACTTTAATCTACAGGATGGCAGGCAAGTCAAAGGTTAAAACCAAGCAAAAGAATTCCCAAGATATGTAAAGCCACAGGAATGTTTGAATATGCATAACGCTCATTAATATGCATTTAACCGGTATGGAAGTAAATTGTTTTAAGCTAACAGTGTGCCTTTGGCAGATTGCCACAGCTCCCCAGCGCTGGATGTTGTCCCTTTTATCTTTTATTAAACTTTTATACAAAATTTGTGAGAGTGAAACTTGTTTGTCACAGAAAACACCCTCGAAGACACAGGGGACGATCTCTAAAACCTCGGAAGGGAGAGGCTCCCCTTCCCACACCTCGGGGCAGCAGATTTTGGCAGGACTTTGGGAAAAATCCCAAGGGTTGGGATTTATCCAGAGCAGCTGTGGCTGCCCCTGGATCCCTGGCAGTGCCCAAGGCCAGGCTGGACACTGGGGCTGGAGCAGCCTGGGACAGCGGGAGGTGGCCCTGCCATGGCAGGGGTGGAATTGGATGATCACTAAATCACGCCGTGCTTCTCTCCGTGAACCTCCCCAGGTGTGTGGGGGGGGCGATGTCCGGGGGTTGATGCCGCCTGTGCAGGGATAAGACCTCCCGCACTCCGGTCACCCCTTGAGAAGGGGAAGGCGATCCCCCCGGACTCCCCCCTCGTCCTTTTCCCATTTCCACCTGTGATCCCTCTACAGCGGAGTCCGATGCGGCGTCCGGGGTCGCCATGGCAGCGTCCACTTCCGGGTTCTCTATGGTAACGGCAGCTTCCGGGCGAGCCCGGAAGTGGCCTCGCATACGGCGGCCGGGTGGGGCCAGCGCGCGGCGGGGGCGAAGCGGGACGGCAGCGGGACGGGAGTGGCCGGGACGATGCTGGAAGCGGCGGCGGATCCGGAGCTGGATCCCGAGGATCTGGTGCATTTCTCGGTGGGAGACCTGCCCAGCCGCGGGTATGGAGTGATGGGCGAGATCCGGCGGCAGGGAAAGCTCTGCGATGTGACGCTCAAGGTGCGGCCCGGCCCCCGGGGGCGAGTGGGGGACGAGGGAGCACCCGAGCCCAGAGGGGTCTGAGCGGGGCTGAGGCACCTCGAGCCCTGAGGGAGAATGAGGGACCCCCCGGTCCGTGATGGGGATGAGGGACCCCGACCCTTCAGGGGGCTGAGAGATCTCGATTCTGCCCCGCTCCTGAGCGGGGACCCCGGTGCTTGAGGGACATTGAGGGGGTGACGGGGTTTGGGGCTGAGGGGACTCACCCCAGTGCCCGTAAGAGGGAGCTGAGGGACCCCCCTGGTCCCTAAGGGGTCTGAGGGACCTCCACAGCCTTTGAGGGTCCCCAGCCTGAGAAGGGGGAGTTGAGGGACCACCCCCATTCCTGGGGGCCCCCTTCTGGAGGAGGGGGGCCTGAGGAACCCCCAGACCCCTGAGCAGGGACCCCAACCCTTCATGGAGGGGGTGATGGACCCTCCAGGCTCTTTTCCAGAGGGAAGGAGGCAGCTGGAGTTCCCTGAGACCCCTTTGGTGGGGGATAAAGGGGAGAGGAGCGGGAGCTGAGGTTTCCCCCTTCCCAAGGCTTTGGCAGCAGAGGCAGAGCTGAGACCCCCCCAAACCCCCTCAGTGGGGTGTCAGCAGCTCTTGGAGCTTCCCAGCCTTGGGGGGTCTCTGAGGGCCTGTGGATCCAGGTTTATTGAGCAGCCTCTGGATACTTTTCCCAAGAAAACCATTCCCTTATAGGAACACCGCTTCTTTGCGCCGAAAATAAAGGAATCCACAAGCCTGGTAAATCCTCGGGATTGTGTCCCTGGCTCTGCAGGGAAGGGCTGGGAGAGCTGGCAGAGTGTCCTGTGCCAGGCAGGAGCTGCTGGAATCCCTCAGGATTGCAGACTCGCAGGAGTTGCTGGGGTGGGAGGCACACGCAGCTCTGAGTCACTGCAGAATTAACTCGGCGCTTTAATTAACCGGGAAGGTGCTCCCAGCCTCCTCACCCTGAAACCTGCCAGAGGAAGGAGCCGGCGGGGGCTGTGCCTGCCACGGAGACGGGATGCATTCCATGGAGATAGGGGCTGCTTCATCCCCCGGGGGAGGGATTGAGGCTTGGGATCCTCCTTGGAAGAGGTTGTTCCTTCTGCAGGGTGATATCTGGGCTGGAAGCTGGGGGAATTCTGTGGTTTGGGATGCAGAGTGTAGTGTTTCTAGGATTAAACTGGATGTTGGTGTGGCAGGAGATGACCAGATCCTGGCAGTCCCACTAATAGGAGACAATAGGAGGAGGTTTATGATCCCAGTCTTATCTTGGATAAATTCCTCACCATTGTTTCAAAAATTCCTGTGAATAATTGTCCATTTCTGTGGATTTCCCACAGCAAAGAGCTGTCTAAATCCTCTTTATCCCTACAGAGGTTTAAAGTACATTAGGAAAGATCAAAACCATCACAGAACAGTTTGGGATGGAAGGAACCTTAAGGATCATCCAGTTCTATCCCATTCCATGGACAGGGATACCTCCCACTGTCCCAGCTTCAAGCCCTGTCCAACCTGGCCTTGGACATTTCCAGGGATCCAGAGGCAGCCACAGCTGCTCTGGAGCTCCATTCCAGGACTACCCATCCTCACAGGGAGAATTCCTTCCCAAAATCCCAAAGACACATCCCTGATCCATTGTCAGTCCTCTGTCCATCTTGTTTCGAGCATTCCAGCTTTCCCTCCTACACCCAGGGCTTGGAATTCCAAGCATTTCATCCCTTTGATTTCTCTCTGGCCTTGAGTCATCCTGTGAAAACATCCCACTTGTGCTGCTTCTGTCTCTTGGACATCCCTTTTCCCAGTGCCCTCGTCTCCAGTGGTGATGGAATTAGTGCAGCCAAGCCTTCCCTCCCCATTCCCAGGAACAGGCTGGCTCCTCCAGCTGCTGGAGCTTTAAGCAGGAATTTTTCTCAGCTTGAGGTTGGAGGTGGCTCTGGGTCACTCAGGCACCCCAAACTCTGCCAGCACAAACTGTCTCTGTCTGCCCAGGCTCGGGAAGGTTTTCCTCCTGGAAATCCAGGGTGGGTTTCGGTTTCCAGCAGGGACGGAGTTTGGATGATTCTTACCCAGAGTTAAGGAAGGAATGTGAAGGTCACAGAGCTGCTCCCAGGGCTGGAGCCAGGCTGGGAGAGCTGGGAATGTTCCCCTGGAGAGCAGAAGCTCCAGGGAGAGCTCAGAGCCCCTTGCAGGGCCTGAAGGGGCTCCAGGAGAGCTGGAGAGGGACTGGGGACAAGGGATGGAGGGACAGGACACAGGGAATGGCTCCCACTGGATGGATGGGATATTGGGAAGGAATTCCTGGCTGGGATGGAATTCCCAGAGCAGCTGGGGCTGCCCCTGGATCCCTGGCAGTGCCCAAGGCCGGGCTGGAGCAGCCTGGGATGGTGGGAGTGTCCCTGCCCATGATTCCATGGATGGAACTGGATGATCCTTAAGATCCTTCCCAACCCAAACCATTCCAGGATTCTCTGATCAAAGCTTTGAGAAACATTCCAACCTGGAGGAACCCCCAGCTGCATCCTGATGCTCCCACACCACTGCACTGAACTGATTCCTCTTTTTTCCACTCCTGCTACTTTCTAAACCAAAAAGCTTCCAAACATCCCAGAAATTGGATCTTGATTTGCTCCCAGCTCATGGATTTGGGAAGTTCTTTTCTCTCTCTGTTTCTTTAACAGCTGCAGGTCAGGGCTGCTCCTGATGTTCCCTCACAGCTCCCTTTGGAGCCTCTCCCAAATGTTTAATTAAATATTCATTTGCTAGGAGCACACATGGATGGACTGGAGGGAGGAAGGGAGGGAGGAGACACACCTCATTTTGTGGTTAGTCCTTTTCCTTTGGAAAAAAAAGCAGGAATTTTCCTTAGGAAAGCCAAATTTCTGCTTTCTTCTCTAAGAATCAGCGGGCTGGGCACTGGTGTGGTCATAAAAGAACCAACCAAACCCTTTTCCCCAAATGATCCCCATCCCAGTCATGTTCTGGAAGGTGAAGCTGTGCTTTCCTCCTCATCCAGCTCTGGTGGTGATGGAAAAGATGTTGGAGGTTCCAACAGGGGCAGGGAAACACCAGGCCTGGAATAATCGTGGGGAGAGCAGAAATGAGGCTTCTGAGCCTTCTTTTTCCTTTTAATTTGGTGAGGTTTGAGGTTTTGAACTCCAGCTATGGACAAGCCAAGGGGCAGAATTCCTCCCTCAGAACTTCTCCCCATTATTTTTGGTGGATTTCCAGTCTTCTTTCATTTGCAGCTCACAACTAAATGCTGCAAAAACCCCAAGAATTCCGGCACAGGGACAAGTGCCGGCATTTGGGGCCGTTATTCCCTGAGTTGCAGATCCTGATCTGATGCTCCTCACTGCTGGTGTTCTTCCTGAGCATTGTTTCTGGGATTGTTTCATCCTTGCAGGATGAAAGCAGCCTGGGCAGCTTTGTTTTCTGGGATGTGCTGTCTGTGCTCCAGAGCTCCGAGCGCTCTCCGGGGACACATCAGAGGCTGCTGGAATGTGCCGCTCCAGGAACCAGGATCCATCCTATTCCTTCATTACAAATGAAGAGGGAATTAATCCCTTCCTAGCTCCTGCTGGCTGGAGCTGGAGGAGAATGATCCAAGTGCCAGGCTGGCACCTCCAGAAATCCTGGTCAGACTGTGCCAAGAGGGAAGGTTTGTGCCAAATCCAATCCCAAATCCTTGGAGAGCGGAGTTGGTGTGAGCTCCTCTTGCTGCTGCAGCTCCTCCTGTGGATCTGAGCCGCTCCAATGCCATTTTTCCATGACTAACTCCGAGACTAATTAGGAAAGTCTCCTAAAATATAACCCATGCCTGGCAAACTGAGACAGTTCCCAGCTGTGGGGAGGGTACAACATTTCCTTCGTGTTCAATCCCAGCATCACCATCAGGTCAGAGGCCTGGTGGCTCCTCTCCCATCCTGATCCCAGTTTTTCCAGAGCAGACTCCAAAGCCCCCAAACTGGAGCAGTTGCACCCCTGAGAGCTGATGCAGAGCCTCTGGATAAGTGGAATTCCAGACAGCTCAGGCTGCCTGATTCCAGCAGGATCCTTGAAAACTCAGTGCTTGGCTGTGCTGCAGATGTTGGGGCGTGTTTGGGAGATCCTGCAGGAAAACAGCCCTGGAAAGAGAGGGAATGTCAGTTTGATGGGAGAGATTGGAAAAGCAGATGATCCATTGTGCACAGGAGAGCAGCAGGATGAGGATGTGATTCCAACCTTGTCACCAACAGGCAGGAATTATTTGGGATTCTGCCTGAACATGATTCCCCCAAGCTCTTGGCTGCCATCAGCTCTTCCCTTACAAAAAATATGAGGATTTTTAGTTCCAGGAGAACACAAAAGTTCTTTTTGCTGTCCCTGAGGGAGCGTTGAGTAGGGCAGGGCTGGAGCTGATCCCCTCAGGATGCTCCCTGTCCATGTGGGAAATGGAGGGACTGGAATTCCAAAAAGCAGCTGAGCTTCCCTGAGCTGGCAGGGAATTCTCAGGGAATGTGGCTTTGTTGTACATCCAGAGGGGATGTGTCCTTTGCTTCAAAGGAATTGGTCACCATTTTCATGGAGTCCTGGGATGGTTTGTGCTGCAGAGACCTTGAGGATCATCCCATTCCCACCCCTGCCATGGCAGGGACACCTCCCACTGTCCCAGGCTGCTCCAGCCTGGCCTTGGGCACTTCCAGGGATCCAAGGGCAGCCACAGCTGCTCTGGGAATTCCATCCCAGCCCCTCCCAGACGGAAATTCCTTCCCAAAATCCCATCCAGCTCTGCCCTCTGGCAGTGGGAAGCCATTCAGAATTCCCTTTTTCCTGCTGCCCCCACTGGGGGATCAGCCCAGGGCACAGAGGGGGGATCAGCCTCAGTGCCAAAATCCAGGGATGGCTTTGGGATTTTTAGGAATCTGCAGCACAAAACTCAGCGAGTTCTCAGCGCTGCAGGGCCGTGACGTCAGGAGCACAAGAAATGCCTTTCTCCCACCTACACCCTTTTCCTTGGGAAAAAGGATCCTTGTGTCTTTGGGAGAAAGGCTCCCTGTGCCCTGGAATTTGGGGCTGTGGGGGTGTCTGGGGGCAGATTCCTTTGGTACCCGCTCCAAGACACATCAGAAGGGAATTCTGGGATTCCTGGGGTCAGGAGCGATGCTTGCAAAGTTCCTTTTTCTGGAAAACACAATCTTTTGCCTTAAAAGCAGAGGACCTAAAATTATAGATTGTAAAACAGAACCTTCTGGAATGGTATCAGGAAGAGGATGAGCTCTTCCTCACTTTGTCCTGAGGTGACTCCAGAGTGACTCCATCAGGAAAGTGCATTAATTTAGGCATGGAAAGGGGCTGGAGGTAGGGAGCACTTTGGGAAAGAGGATCTGAGGATGAGCTGGATGAACACGTGCTGAAGGCTCATCCTTGGAAGGATTTTCCATATTCCACAGGAAAATCTTGTCCTTTGCCTGCAGCAGGAAATGCAGTGGTTCCCTGGGGGCTGATGGAATGAATCACGGGTTTCCATCGTGCCAGGAGCAAGTTCCAAGCAGAAGGAATCCCAGCTTTTGTCTTGTCCAGCACCAGGGAATATTCCCTGGGCTCTTTGCTCTGTGGATCTGGCTGCTCACAGGGAGAATTCCCGGTCTGGCAGCACTGCCCAGACCCATCCCAGTGATGATTTCATCCCAGCAGGAATCCTGCAGGATGACTGGGAATGTTTGTTCCTGCCAGGCCCAGGTGTGTGGGAGATCCCGAGGCTCCTCGTGGGGTCACAGCCGTGAATCCCTGCAATGTCCCTTGGGCAGGGACATGGAATCATGGAATGGTTCAGGTTGGAAAAGCCCTCTTGGCTCACTGACACCCCTGACCGTGTCCCCAAGTGCCACATGCACAGGGGTGTCACATCCTGCCAGGGATGGGGAGCCACCTCTGCCCTGGGCTGTCCCTTCCACCCTTTCCAGGAAGGAATTCTCCCAATTTCCAAATGAACATCCCTGGCCCAGCCTGAGGCCGTTCCCTCTCCTCCTGTCCCTGTTCCCTGGGAGCAGAGCCCGACCCTCCCGGCTGTCCCCTCCTGCCAGGGACTTGTGCAGAGCCAGAAATTCCCCCTGAGCCTCCTTTGCTCCAGGCTGAGCCCCTTCCCAGCTCCCTCAGGAATTCTCCAGCCCTTTCCCAGCTCCCTCAGGAATTCTCCAGCCCCTTCCCATCTCCCTCAGGAATTCTCCAGCCCCTTCCCAGATCCCTCAGGAATTCTCCATCCCCTTCCCATCTCCCTCAGGAATTCTCTATCCCCTTCCCAGCTCCCTCAGGAATTCTCCAGCCCCTTCCCAGCTCCATCAGGAATTCTTCAGCCCCTTCCCAGCTCTCTCAGGAATTCTCCAGCCCATTCCCAGCTCCCTCAGGAATTCTCCAGCCCCTTCCCAGCTCCCTCAGGAATTCTCCAGCCCATTCCCAGCTCTCTCAGGAATTCTCCATCCCCTTCCCAGCTCCCTCAGGAATTCTCCAGCCCTTTCCCAGCTCCCTCAGGAATTCTCCAGCCCATTCCCAGCTCTCAGGAATTCTCCAGCTCCTTTCCCAGCTCTGTTCCCTTCCCTGGACACCCTCCAGCTCCTCAATGTCACTTTTGTCATGAGGAGTCCAGAGCTGCCACCTGGGCTCTGTAATTTACAGTTATTTGGTGAAATAAGGGCTTTTTTCTCCTCCTTTTTCTCCTCCTTGGGTCACACTTCAGGCTTGGGGTTTGAATAAATATAACCTTGGTGTTGAAATTCCTGTTATCTTTAGCTATAAAGATAATTTTGCTTATAAATAGAAGGTTGCTGGGTGCATTTGAAGCAGGTGTTTCACTTTAAGGGGCTCCTGGTCAATTTTAGCACCACTTTCCATTTATTAAAAAGCTGAAATGAGATTTGGACAGTTGTGATTTTTGGCAGCTTGGGCTTAGAGGGGGGAAATGAAAGTCAAGTAAAATGTTACTTTTCTTGCACACTCGGCCTGAATGGGAGCACTGATCCAAACAAACCAAATGAGCTCTTCCAGCTGGAGCGAATTCCTTACGGAATTTTAGAGATAAGAGGAGGCCTTGTTCTTTCACCTTTCAGAAACAGCAAGAGGAAAAACGGAGTTTTTCTGTGTTTTGGGATGTTTGAGACACCTGGGAAGGGATTTTCCAGCATCACAGACCCTCATATTGGGATTTCTCATGTGGGGAGGGGCTGTCAGCTCTCAGGTTCTGGAATTGCTTCCCTTTGTGGCATTTCCTTATGGAATTTGCTGTATTTTTGTATTTTTAAAGCTCAGCCAGGGTGGGAAGTGCTCTGCCACCATTCCATCCTCTCCAGGGCCAGATCCTGACTCCTTTTCCCAGAGATTCCCCATCCCACCAGGAGGAGGCTGGCAGTGTGCCTTGGTTTAGGGTTTTAGATGTTTAAATTTAGGGTTTTATGGTTTTCTTGGTTTAGATTCTGCAGATATCTCAAGTCTTGGAGCCTCTGGGATGTTTTCCATGTGGTTTTGGGTTAGGAGAAGGGATTGGTCCAGCCCTTCATCCCTCAAAGTCACACACAGATATAAATGGGAAGGGGTTTTTTCCCATCAGCTGTCACAATCCCGACCCCTTCACTTCTTGATTTCACTCTGGGAATCAGGAATGCTGCAAAATCCAGGAGGATCCAGGGTTTGTGCAGCATAATCCAGGCACAGAGGACAGATGGAAAGGGATTCAGGCACAGCTGAGCTGCCCAGGACAGAGACCAGGCTCTCCAAAAGTGCCTCTTTTTTACCACCTGGCAGGAATTCTGCTTTCTAAACCCCCAGCAAGTCTGTGATTTCTGGGTCTGAGGGAGCCAGGAGGCACTGCTGGGAATCCTGGAATTCCTGGATCCAAACAGCATTCCTGTTTCCTCTGGAGGTGACGTGGGGTGAGGATTTTGCAGAGGAGAAGAGCAGAATTCCCTGGATAACCTGGAGGGAGGGGCCCTGCTGTGCCTGCTGCTTTTTTCCCCATAAAACAAAACTCTGACAGGAAATTTTTGCTTAAGTGAGGAAAAAAGGGAAGCTGGGATGAGTCAGATTGATGTGGAAATCGGGGAAAAAAGCTCTGAGAGAAGTAATCAGAGCAAAGACATGACTTGTGTTAAATACAGGTAAAGATATTATGAAAGAAATAAAAATATAAAATACATTAAAATATAAATAAAATTATAAAATAAAATATAAATAAAAATATAAAGATATAAATATATTTTTATTTAACTATATAAATATATATAAACAAAAATATTAAAAATATAAATAATATAGAATATAGAATAATATATTTAATATTTATATTAATATATTAATATAATATTATTAATATTATTTATATATATAAATAAATATAAATATATAAATATATAAATAATATATTTATCTACATAAATATATATAAAATATATAAATAATATATAAATATATATCATATAAAAGAATAATATATAAATATATATTATTTATCTATATAAATATATATAAACAAAGATATATAAATAAAATATAACTAAAATATATATAATTAAAATAATATGTATAAAATATAAATAAAATCTAAATAAAAATCTAAAATATATTAAGATATAAATATAACTAAAATATATATAATTAAAATAATAATATAGATAAAATATAGATAAAATCTATAAATAAAAATCTAAAATATATTAAGATGTAAATATATTTATTATTATATATTTATTAATGTATAAAATATTAAATATAGTTTAAGCCCTGCTGCTCTAGCTAAACTAACAGCTGGCTTGTCAATTCCCATAAGAAAAAATAAAAAAAAATGAGAAGCACTTAGCAGAAAAACCTGTTTTAGTAAAAAAACTGTTTGCTCCAACATAAAGAATAAATCTACCCTATTAAAATCAGTAAAGATGTAAACAATTTAAGAATAGTCTCGACACTTACACACAAAAACACATTTTAATCAATAAATTGGTTAAATTTTGGGTTCATTTTAACCAAAATAATTAAAAATAAAATAAAGTAATAAAACCTGCCAGCCAATTCAAGTTAATCACTAAGTCTGTAAAAGCTGTATAAAAATGAGCTATGTAATTAAATAATAAATAATAATTTAAAAACCTCTTCAGAATAAACATAAATAGAAAACTGCATCCAAATATTTTTTCCTCTTATTAAAAGGATAAAATTCTCCACTGGTACTTCTGACACATTTTGAGAATAGAAAGTGAGTTCTTAAAACACAAAGTTCTGGCCATTTGAAATAAAAGATGGCCAAAATCAGCAGCCTTGATTTTTGTGAAATCCCCATGGAAGATCAAAGGGAATAGGGGAGAAAATTCCCATTTTTTGTGTTTATTTTTAAGCATCTCCCAAGGTTTTCTTCCTACAGAGCTTTTAGCTCGGAGCTGATGCATCTCCCCATTCATTTTTATCAGAATAAATCAATTTAAGGCGATTTTTCTTCATGGCAACACGTGTTTTATGGCAAAATTTGGATGCTGCAGGTGCTGATCCCGTTTTTTCCTCCCTGTTCTCCCCGGTTTAGGTCGGGGACCACAAGTTCAGCGCTCACCGGATCGTTCTGGCAGCTTCCATCCCCTATTTCCACGCCATGTTCACCAACGACATGATGGAGTGCAAGCAGGATGAGATCGTCATGCAGGGCATGGATCCCAGGTAAAATCCCTCGGGAATAATCACCAGATCTCTGTGCAAGGCTCAGAGCTGGAATTCCATGGATTTGCTGCCCTTTCTCCCTGTTTTTAGTGCGCTGGAGGCTCTGATCAACTTTGCCTACAACGGGCACCTGGCCATAGACCAGCAGAACGTGCAGTCCCTGCTGATGGGGGCGAGTTTCCTGCAGCTGCAGAACATCAAGGACGCGTGTTGCACCTTCCTCAGGGAGAGGTGAGTGGGATGGGGGGTTCCTGAGGGAATTCCAGGGGGATTCCAGCTGCTCCCCAACAGCAGCAGAGAGGTTCAGTCACCCGTGTCCAGCTTGGGAGCAGGTTCCTGCTGGCTGCCCGGAGGAGGCACGGGAAGAGCTGGGCACGGAGAGCTCCAGAGGGATCACAGATCACAGATCATGCAGGAGAGGGGCTGAAGGGCTGATGCAGGGAAGATGCTGCCAGGCAGCTCTTTGGCTCTGCCAGCATTCCAAAGTTTCCTGGCACAAAACCCATGGCAAAGAACTTTCCCAGCAGAGCACAACAAACTTGTATTTTCCTTGCCTCTCCTAAAATATCCCAGCCTTTCTGCTCCAGCTGCTTCTTAGGCTTGGAAAACACCTCGATATTTAATTTAAAGGACATCCTGATAGTCTGTTTCCCATTTTGAAACCCTCAGGCTGTTGCCTGCAGTCGTTTCCATCCATCCCCATCCTTCTCCAGAGCTTGCCCAAACGATCCTGGTTTAACGGAACTTTTCCTCTTCCTGGTTTCTCCATCCTGTGGCTCTTGTGGAGAAGTTTCCCACATCAAGCTGAGGAAAGCACGAGGATGTGTCCTTGTAGCAGGATGAGGAGTGTGAATCCTGAAATTTGGCATTTGTGGGGTTATGGAACATAAAATGGGTTGGAAGGGACCTTAAAGTCCATCCCATTCCAGCCCTGCCATGGCAGGGACACCTCCCACTGTCCCAGCTTGTTCCAAGCCTTGGATACTTCCAGGGATCCAGGGGCATCCACAGCTTCTCTGGGAATTCCATCCCAGGGCCTCACCACTCTCCCAGGCAGGAATTCCTTCCCAATATCCCATCCATCCCTGCCCCCTGGCAGTGGGAAGCCATTCCCCCTTCTCCTACCATTCCCATTCCCTGCAGAATAACTGATCCCTCCTTTATGGGGACACGGTGAAGGACCTTGGCCAGCCACAGGAATCAACACCCAGAGCAAAACTGAGGAGTTTTCCCTTTCTGAGAGCCCATCCTGGCAGGAATTGCCCTTCCTGCTGCCAGGGGAGGAACACAGCGCCTTCAGCCCAGGAGCTGCACAGGAAACTCTGGCAGAGCCCTAAATTAGTCCCAGGTTTTTCAATTTCCTTGCTGCTGCTTGGCTGTGAGGCTGTTCCTGCAGCATGGTCTGGAGATGGAAAGCTGGGATAGTCTTTGTCCACATTCCACATGGATTCTCAGCCGTGGCAGGTGGTCTGAGGTGTTCAGTTTTCCCAGCCTGGCTTCTCTGCAGCTGCTCAGGGCATTCCGTGGTGTGATGTCAAACACAGCAACCAAATACAGGGATTGGCCACCAAAATTCTCCCAAATCCACCAGGGGTGCTCAGTGAAGTCCAGCTGCCAGTTTGGTTCACAAGCCAAAAAATGAGTGGATTCTGGCCACCCTGGAGAGCTGGGACATGGACACTGAGCTCTCCTTCTTGAGTGGAGTTGAGAATTGGGAGATTTTTAGTCAACTGTGTTGTAACCAAATCCTGTGGGAGCCCTCGGGGTCACCCTCATGTGACAGGTGCCCACCCAACAGCTCAGGAGGGACCTGGAGCTGCCAGAGAGATCCAGAGGAGGCCCCGGAGCTGCTTCAGGCTGGGAGAGCTGGGAATGTTCCCCTGGAGAGGAGAAGCTCCAGGGACACCTCAGAGCCCCTTGCAGGGCCTGAAGGGGCTCCAGGAGAGCTGGAGAGGGACTGGGGACAAGGGATGGAGGGACAGGACACAGGGAATGGCTCCCACTGCTTGGATTTTGGGATATTGGGAAGGAATTCCTGGCTGGGAGGGTGAGTGGGCTCTGGTACAGGGTGCTCAGGGAAGCTGTGGATGCTCCCAGAGCCACCTGGATCTATCCAAATCCTCTTTGAGACAAGGGGACATTTGTGTTTTCCATCTTCTGGCTCTGCCTTGGATTCTCCTGGAGCTCCCAGTGCAGATCAGCTCCTGGTGAGCTGGAATCAGCCATCACTGGAGAGGACACATCTTTCACTGCATTGTCCTCCAAGGCTTCCCAGAATCCTGGGATGGTTTGGGTTGGAAAAGACCTCAAAGCCCATCCCATTCCCACCCTCTGCCAAGGCAGGGCCACCTCCCTCTGTCCCAGGCTGCTCCTGCCCCAATGTCCAACCTGGCCTTGGGCACTGCCAGGATCCAGGGGCAGCCACAGCTGCTCTCCCATTAACCTGACATTCCCATTGCTCCCCTCCTCCCCTTTTCCAGGCTTCATCCCAAGAACTGCCTGGGTGTCCGGCAGTTTGCCGAGACCATGATGTGCACGGTGCTCTACGACGCCGCCAACAGCTTCATCCACCAGCACTTCGTGGAGGTCTCCATGTCCGAGGAGTTCCTGGGCCTGCCCTTCGAGGATGTCCTGGAGCTCGTCTCCAGGGATGAGCTCAACGTCAAGTCCGAGGAGCAGGTGGGGACCTGGTGTTTGACCTTGAGGGGTTTCTCACTGCTTGGGAGTGGGAATGGAAATGGAAATGGAAATGGAAATGGAAATGGAAATGGGACTGGAAATGGAAATGGAAATGGGACTGGAAATGGAAATGGAAATGGAAATGGAACTGGAAATGGGACTGGAAATGGAAATGGAAATTGAAATGGGACTGGAAATGGGACTGGAAATGGGAATGGGAATGATCCTATTGCTGGGCTGAGTGAGGCTGGGCTGTCCTGGCACTGGGGACACTCAGAGGTGCTGCACAGAGCTGTGATGGTTTCCTGTGCCTACTCCAGGCTGACTTGTTCCTAAAGAAACAGGCAGCAGGGCTTTTTTAGGATCACAGAATCGTTGAGGTTGGAAAAGCCCTCAGAGATCATCAACACTTCCCCCAGCACTGCCAAGGCCACCCCCAACCCTGTCCCCAAGTGTCACATCCACAGGGCTTTTAAATCCCTGCAGGGATGGGGACTCCACCCCTGCCCTGAGCAGCTGGGCCAGGCCTGGACAGCCCTTCCCAGGAAGGAATTTTTCCAAATTCCTGCCTAAACCTCCGCTGGGACAACATGAGGCTGTTTCCTCTCCTCCTGTCCCTTGTTCCCTGAGGAAAGAGCTGGAATCCCACCTGGCTGCACACTCCTGACAGGGAGTTTTGGGGAGTGGAGAAGAGTTTAGGGTGTTTCCACAGCCTTGAGAATCCATGAGCAGGGAAAGCAGAGCTTGTCCTTGAGCCTGGAAATCTGTCCTGCTGTTCCTGAGGAGGTGACAAAGGCAGAGCAGACCTCCAGCTTCTCCTTGTAGGGTAAAAACCTGCTTCTTTAATCAGGCTTAGAGAGGGAGAAAAAACCTGCCTCACATTCCAGCCACATTCCTGTGTCATACCAAGAATTCCTCCCTCTGTTTTCCCCAGAGCAGGTAGGACCCAAAGGAATCCATCCTGGGGACATTTCACCTGCCAGCCCCACTCTTCAGGAATTCCAGTAGCACCCTGCAGAGGGGAAGAAAGGTGTTTTGGGGTGTTTAATCCCTGCAGTGCTGTTGGAGAAGCATTTTTGCACTGGAAAGTTTGGGAATTGTTGTTGGGAGTGCCACTGTGCAAGAATGACTCGCTGATTTTGTTGTGGTCAGTTGTAAAGGCTGCAGTAACTTCAATGGGGAGTGCTGTGGACCCAGGAATGTGTGTCCCAAATTAAAGTGGGACCGGGGCACAGGGATCCTTTTGTAGCTGGGAGTCATCCAGTGGGATTCAGAGAGCTCTGTCCCTTCCAGAGTCTGGGATGGAGCCTGGAGGGACCAGCTCAGCCCCAGGGGTCTCCATTGTAGCTGTCCAGAGAGAACAGGTGGATCCAGCACCATTCCCAGTCTTCTTTCCCAGTTTACAGATTTCTGTCACTAATAAACACAGTTTTGTGCTCTGTGCCACCTCCTCTGCCAAAATCCTGCTTGCAGCTCCCTCATCTCCCTGCAAACATTTGTGCTGAGTGTCCCATCCCACGGGACAGATGGGGATTGTGGGAGGCAGGGAAAGAAACCTGCATAGAGCCAGGCTGGGAGAGCTGGGAATGTTCCCCTGCAGAGGAGAAGCTCCAGGGAGAGCTCAGAGCCCCTTGCAGGGCCTGAAGGGGCTCCAGGAGAGCTGGAGAGGGACTGGGGACAAGGGATGGAGGGACAGGACACAGGGAATGGCTCCCACTGCTTGGATTTTGGGATATTGGGATTTGGGAATTCCTGGCTGGGAGGGTGGGGAGGGGCTGGGATGGAATTCCCAGAGCAGCTGTGGCTGCCCCTGGATCCCTGGCAGTGCCCAAGACCAGGCTGGAACAGCCTGGGACAATGGGAGTGTCCCTGCCATGGCACTGGATGATCCTGAAGCTCCCTTCCCATCCAAACCATTCCAAGATCTCATTCCATTTCATTCCCATCCACTTGCAAAACTCCCAAAAACTCCAACTTCACCTCTGTCTCCTGGCAGGTGTTTGAAGCTGCCCTGGCCTGGATCCGGTACGACAGAGACCAGAGGGAATCCTTCCTGCCCGAGCTGCTCTCCAAAATCCGGCTGCCCCTGTGCCGGCCGCAGTTCCTCACGGACCGCGTGCAGCAGGACGACCTGGTGCGCTGCTGCCACAAGTGCAGGTGAGGCCTGGCCACCGAGTCAGCAGGGTGGCAAAGTCTGACCCTTCAGACTCCAGACAGATCTCCCCTTCAACGATTCCATGATTTCAGGGATCTGGTTGACGAGGCCAAGGATTACCACCTGATGCCGGAGCGCCGGCCGCACCTGCCGGCGTTCAAGACGCGGCCGCGGTGCTGCACGTCCATCGCGGGGCTGATTTACGCCGTGGGGGGACTCAACTCAGCAGGTACCTTGCAGTGGAAAGACCACCAGGGGCTGGCTGGGATGCTGGAATTCCCTCCTGTGGAAGCGTGGAGCGGTTTCTCCTCCTCCACACAGCACTCTGACCCTTCTGGTGAAACCTTCGGGGTGGTCGTGCCCGTAGTTTAACATCTCCCATCTGAAATCCTGCCCGGCTGAGGCTTTTTTAGGACACTTGGAGGATGGTGTCCTTGCCTGGAGGCCCGAGCAGGACTTGTAGGGATCTCCACAATGTTGTGGAATCACAAGACTTTGACATCAGCCTCACCACGGCGTGAAAAGGGAACAGAAAGTGACCGGGGAAAAGCTTTTAGGGAGGAGCTGCGCTCCCGGCAAGCAGCGACAGCACGGACGGGACTCGCAGGTCTCTGCTGCCCCTTGGAGGACAGCGGAGGTTCCACATGTGCAGAGGGAACTCGCCGAGGCTCCTTGTGCAGAGCACGGGAGAGCTCAGAAACGTTCCCTGATCTTTTTGAGTGTGGGAACAACGGGAATTGTTCAGAGCGGGATCTGTGGGTGAGCAGGGATATGGGAAACGTTTCTGTGGGAGCAGGAAGGCTGAGAATAGGATGTGAGAGCCCAGGGCAGAGAATCCCAGAATGGTCTGGGTTGGAAGGGACCATAAGGATCATCCCATTCCACACCTTCCACTGTCCCAGGCTGCTCCAACCTGGTCTTGAGCACTTCCAGGGATCCAGGGGCAGCCACAGCTGCTCTGGGAACCCCATTCCAGGGCCTGCCCACCCTCACAGGGAAGAATTTCTTGCCCTGCCCCAAGTACAGCACTTTGCACTTCGTTGAACCTCATGAGGTTCCCATTCCTTTTTTTTTCCCAAAGAAAAACAGGCAAATTCCCCAAGCCAACCCCACCTTCAGACACACAACAGCACCCTCTACCCTCCCCCCTCACTATCCCAGGGTTTCATCAGGTCTCCCTCTTTTAATTTGAGTAGCAAATTTCTATGCAGGCGACTCTCTGAACGTGGTGGAGGTGTTTGACCCCATTGCCAACCGCTGGGAGAAGTGCCAGCCCATGGCCACGGCGCGGAGCCGCGTCGGCGTGGCCGTGGTCAACGGGCTGCTCTACGCCATCGGCGGCTACGACGGCCAGCTGAGGCTCAGCACCGTGGAGGTTTACAACCCCGACAGCGACTCCTGGTCCAAAGTGGAAAGCATGAACAGTAAAAGGAGGTACGTGCAGCTGGCTGGGAAGAGATTTCTGGAAAAGCAGGGGAAAAAAAAAGGAGGTTGGGTGTGGTAGGTGGTGCAGGATGTGTTGTGTGTTGGGGGGGAGAAATGGGAGAGGAGGTGTGGGGCAGTGTGGGGGCAGCTGGGGTTTCCTGGTTCAGTTTTTGGTGCAGCCAGGTGGGGGTCGGGCTCTGCTCCCAGAAAACAGGGACAGGACAAGGGGAAATGGCCTCAGGCTGGGCCAGGGGAGTTCAGGTTGGATACAGGGAAAATTCCTGCTGGAAGGGGTTGTCCAGCCCTGGCCCGAGCTGTGCAGGGGGTGTTTGTGCCCCTCACCAGGATTCTCAGCCACTCCTGCTGCTCCAGCCCCTTCCCCAGCTCCATCCCCTTCTCTCAATATCTCTTTGTTGTGAGGGGCCCAAATCCAAACCCAGGATCCGAGCTGCTCCTGCCACGAGCACCTTTCCCCTTTTCCAGCTCAGAGTTCAGGTGGCACTGAGCAGTTTGGGGGTGAATCCTGGGAAAAGGCAGTTTGGTGGGGATGACACGGGCAGGGGTCACAGCGTTGGGGACAGGGTGGCAGCACCTGCAGCCACCTCACGGGGTCCTGCTGTCCTTGCAGCGCCATGGGGACGGTGGTGCTGGATGGGCAGATCTACGTGTGCGGTGGGTACGATGGAAACTCATCCCTCAACTCGGTGGAGTCCTACTCTCCAGAAACAAACAAGTAAGTGTGACTTCTCTTATTCATTTTCTTCTGTATTTTTCTTTCCTCCTGGATTTCTCAGTCCCCTGTGGGCTGAGCTCTTTTGGGACCCTCCCTCGTGGGGAGCCCTGCTTATCTCAGTTCTCTGGGTTTGAAGAAAACTCCCAAGCTCGTTAGAATCTTGTTTCTCATGTTTATTAGAAGGTCATCACAAAACTTGGCAGGTCTCTCCAGACTTTCTACACAAGCTCAATTCACCACAACCTGGCTCATTTTGCTCTGATGGTAAAAAATGGCCCCAAAGCACGCAGCTGCTTCACCTTTATTTCTATTTTTACCCTATTAACTACAGACATGTGAATTGCTTTTATGTTTTAACAAGTAAGTTTTCTATATCTACTCACGTAATTAAAACTGCAGCTAACTCTAAACCAATCACTCTTTGTGCTCCCAAAAAACTGCAGAATCATGGAGAAGAAGGAAGAACTAAAAACCACACCATTTTTCCTTCATCTTTACTCCATGTATTAAACCCCTCTAAAATCTATATTTTTCACCTCAGTGGCATACTAAACATTTTACTACTTTTTTACTTAATTTTTTACAAATCCTGGTTTACCCAGGGATATTTGGAAGCCTTTCTGTCAATAGCAAATAGGATTGATACTATTTTGGAGAAGAGAACAGAGAAATGTCTCTCCATTTCTGGATTCCTACAGTGAGAGCCTTTCGTGTCCCAGAGCTTTTCCAGGAGTTTCCCCTCCGGTGTTCCGTGTCCTGGCACTGCCGGGCATGTGGGCTGTGAGAATGAGGAGGAATCCAGGAGTAGGAAATCATGGAATAATCTGCTGTAGGAGTGTTGCTAAGCTCTCCCCTCTCCCTCCCAGGTGGACAGCAGTGACCCCCATGAGCTCCAACCGCAGCGCTGCCGGCGTCACCGTGTTCGAGGGACGGATCTACGTGTCCGGAGGGCACGACGGGCTCCAGATCTTCAACAGCGTAAGGCTCTGGGGCAGGGCTCATCCCCTGCACCTCAGGCTGGGGCTGGAAGGTTCTGGGTCCTTTCCCTGTGCATCCAGACAGCCCCGAGCAGTTGTGCCACCAAATTGTGTCACTTCCACCCGTAACAGAAAACCCCGAGGTGGAGCAGGAGTGACTCGTTTATCCACTGGGGGTATTCCGAGGGCTGGAACCCTTGGGATATGGAGACAGGCTGGCAGAGAAGGCTCCAGAGAGAGCTCAGAGCCCCTCCCAGGGCCTAAAGGGGCTCCAGGAGAGCTGCAGAGGGACAAGGGATGGAGAGACAGGACACAGAATGGTTTTAAGCGGAAGGAAGGGAGATTTAGGTGGGATACTGGGAAAGAATTCCCAGCTGTGGCTGCCCCTGGATCCCTGCCCAAGGCCAGGCTGAACAGGGCTTGGAGCACCTGGAGTAGTGGAAGGTGACCCTGCCCACGGCACTGGATGAGCTTTAAGGTTTCTTCCAACCCAAACCCTTCAGGCACAATCCCATAGCAGCTGAACTTTTAACCGAGGGCACTTCAGTCCTCTCAGCCGCTCCTCCTGCTGAGACCCTTCCCCAACTCCCTTCCCTTCCCTGGGAAGCCCCTCCCTGTCCCATCACCAGCTTGGAGGTGCCCCAGCAGGGTCACCTTCCCAGGGCAGCATCATCCCTAACTGCAGCCGTGCTCCCCGGCAGGTGGAATACTACAACCCGCACACCTCCAGCTGGCACGCGGTGTCGCCCATGCTGAACAAGCGGTGCCGGCACGGCGCGGCCGCGCTGGGCAGCCGAATGTTCGTGTGCGGCGGCTACGACGGCTCCGGTTTCCTCAGCGCCGCCGAGGTCTACAGCTCCGTGGCCGACCAGTGGTACCTGATCGTGCCCATGAACACCCGGCGCAGCCGCGTGTCCCTCGTGGCCAACTGCGGCCGGCTCTACGCCGTGGGCGGCTACGACGGACAGTCCAACCTCAGCTCGGTGGAGATGTACGACCCCGAGACCAACCGCTGGACGTTCATGGCGCCCATGGTGTGCCACGAGGGCGGGGTGGGCGTGGGCTGCGTGCCGCTGCTCACCATCTGAGCCTCGCCGGCTTCACACGGGGGGTTTTGGGGGCGTCTCGTCGGCGACGAGCGTGCCAGGATTTCCAGGTGCTCCATCCGAACGCCGAGGAACTCGACGGAGTAATCCCCACACGTAACTTTTTGGGTTGAAGGTCCTGAAAGGTCAAATGTGGTGAGTTTATGTGCAAGCAAAGATGTCTCGGCCTCCCCCAGAGCCGAGGCCGAGCTCATCCATCCATCCATCCATCCATCCATCCATCCATCCATCCATCCCTCCATCCATCCATCCCTCAGCGGTTACGCCTTTGGGAAGCGCCGTTGTGGGCTGGGGGAAGGCGCCAGGCTTCATTGTGACATAAAAACTGCCACCTGGAGGACTTGGAAAATCCACCTGCACCTTGTGGGAGCAGCAAAACCACCTTGAGCCCCCCTCCCAGGGGTGTCAGCAGCAATTTGGGGGGTCCTGGTCACACAGGAGGGGTCTCCAACCAGGACAAACGTGGAGCTGTGGCCTCCGGGAACTTCTTACACAAGACACCCCCAGTTCCTCGTGCTTTCCTCAGCTTGATGTGGAAAACTTCTCCACAAGAGCCACAGGATGGAGAAACCAGGAAGAGGAAAAGTTCCGTTAAACCAGGATCGTTTGGGCAAGCTCTGGAGAAGGATGGATGGAAACGACTGCAGGCAACAGCCTGAGGGTTTCAAAATGGGAAACAGACTATCAGGATGTCCTTTAAATTAAATATCGAGGTGTTTTCCAAGCCTAAGAAGCAGCTGGAGCAGAAAGGCTGGGATATTTTAGGAGAGGCAAGGAAAATACGTCACAAGTTTGTCGTGCTCTGCTGGGAAAGTTCTTTGCCATGGGTTTTGTGCCAGGAAACTTTGGAATGCTGGCAGAGCCAAAGAGCTGCCTGGCAGCATCTTCCCTGCATCAGCCCCTCTCCTGCATGATCCATGATCCCTCCGGAGCTCTCCGTGCCCGGCTCTTCCCGTGCCACCCTGGGCACAGCCATACCTCCTCCGGGCAGGCAGCGCCAGCCAGCAGGAACCTGCTCCTGGCTGCGAGGGATTTGGGATCTCCCCCACCCCGTGTCCATCCCGGCGCTCCGAGGGGCTGGGAGGAGCGGGATGTGCCCCCCAACCCCGCTCCTGTGTCCGTTCCTGCTCCCAGCATCCCTGGGATTGACTCTGGCTGTACATGTGGATGTCAATATTGGGGTACTGTGTAAATTTTAGGGTCTATAATGAGCATATCTGGGTATAAATGTGATCTATCAGTACATATCCGTTTCTCCCACATCTATCCACTGCTGGCTTCCCAGGAACGGGAATCCGGGAATCCTTTGGACTTTTCTGTGCTGCTCAGACTTTAAAAAGAAAACAAAAAAAAAAAAACCACAAATGCTTGGATCAGAATGAAGTTGTTGCCCATGGCATCTTCTCTTCTCCAGGACCCATCCCAATGTTCTCCATGGGCTCTGGTGAGCTGCTCTCCTGCTGTTCCATTTTCCCTCCTCCCTCCCACCTGGGGTATGTGTCTGTAAGAATGGGAATATTGGAATAAATACCTTTGGAATAGCAGCAGCTCCCCTGAGGCCCGGGCTGCTGATGGCCTCTGGGGTTCCTTCCCCAGGGAATTCTTTGCTTTTCCATTGTGGGTGAAGCAAAGAGAAAGGGGAGCTCCAAAGGCAATGGGAAAATACTGAATTTTGGGGAAACAAGACCCGCTCACCCAGGGAAGGCAAACTGGGAGAGCAGGATCCACATGGCATAGACCTTGGCAAACCTTGTGTTCCTGAATCCAAGGAAAACCTGGGCGCTGGATGAATCTGAGCAGGGTGAGAGGGACTTAAAAACCCCAAAATGGTGTCAAGGAACCGGGAGAGGGGAGGGGGTTCCTGGTTCTTGTGTCTGGGAAGCAGCAGGATGCCGTGGCTCCCGGCTCGGGAGGAGCAGGATCGGGGCTGGAGCCGGGGGCAGGCCCAGGGAAGGGGCCCCGCAGGGGATCGGCCCCGCCGAGCTCCAGCATCGCCGCATCTCCTGCGGGTCCAGGCTCGCTCCCCCGCGGCACCGGGCCAAGGCAAA